ATTCATCTGCGGCTCTGCATTGCTGTTGTCAGCACTGCATGTGATATCTAACTTTTTCCGAGAGACTGTTTGTAGTTACTCTGAGGCCTGTTTTATTTCTTTGTCTAAAAAAAGGCTCTTAATGAGGGGGAAGAAGAAGAGGCGTTATCCATATGCCAATCAGAAAACGGACAGCATGAATCTCTGAATTTCAAATCCAGTATCAATTGTGACAGGTCAGTGCAAATATGCCCATTTAAGTTTTCACCTTTTAACGCTAGAAGTAGGCAGAGTTATAAAGGTATTAGAAGATGTTGTATGAAAATAGTTAACTCAGTTTTGTGTGGTTTGTTTCCTTTTGTGTGATATTTGTTTTTGTTCCCCCCACACTACTTTCTCGACCTCAGAATTCTAAGGAAAGCCTTTGTGGTAATCTTTAACCTGTGAATGAGCTTGAATGGAGAGCTCCCCTGAATAGTTATAGAGAAAAAACTTTTTCTAGATTGCAAAAATAATCTCAGGTTATGCTACTATATTGTAATTAGTTGTTATCCTTGTTTTGAATGTAGGCTACTTCGTATATTGAGAGAAGAAAATTCCTCAGCAAATTCTGAGTTGTGGGCTGAAAGGGATTTGAGAAAAACTACTGTATCACAGGAAATACCTTTGACTCCAACAATTGCGTCTTCATCATTGGAACATTCAGGTTGGATTTGCTTAATCACAGCCTCTCAAGGGCTGTTAAGCTGTTTATACAGGACCCTGCCTCAAGTTCCTTATCTGGGTTGAGATGAGAAACAGAGGTGTGTTAATTTGGCTTAGATGAATTTTCACACTACGAAGCCTAATTTTCTAGTATTTATAATATCTTTGTAACATAGCACTATTAAGAACATAACTGAAATTGTGTGTTTTTTTGCTTTGTATTTAAATCAGCCCTCAATGCTTCCAGTTTAGTCAAGAGAATCCATTCAAGACATCAGAATCAAGATGAAGAAGAGACTGTAGACTCTGCTTCTACTGTGAGACAAGTGCTGAACCCAAACTCAAGAAGAGAAAAGCAAATTCCAACAAAAAGTTTAGTACTTTCAAAAACAGCATTCTTCCGTTTGACCAAGGTCCTTAGTATCATGGGAAAATGTGTCTTGAAAAGGGATATTTGGAGGTAATCTACTCATGCTCTCTGCTCAGAGGAGAGCTAACTCCAAAGAATTCAAGGGGGCTCAACTGTCCAGGTTTTGAGCATTTGTAAAGGTTGACATTCTGCAACCCCTTATTCCAGTGTCAAAGCAAAGTCCGTAGGAAGGAGGAAACCATAAATACAATTCTATGATGCAACCTATTTTCTTGTTGGACATAGAGTTCTCTCCTTTGTGGCGATTTTCTATTTCTTTTACAACTTTGTGGTCTTTGCTGCACAGATATATGACAAGTTTTCATCTCTTTATTCTGCACATTGTTTATACCTGTTGCCAATTCCCATATACAACTATTAACATGGAAAGATTGTTGTACAAATTAGTAAATACAGGACCTGAAAGCAGCTGATGTTTTTCACTGGGTGATCACTAGCAAACTGTTTCTGTGCTTCTGATTTGAAAGAAGAAAAGCAAAAATAGACATCTAAGATAAATGCACCAGTGAAACTTGAGTGGAACCAACGTGATGGTGTAAGATGTATTTTTGGATTATTGAAAATAATTGGAATGTCTGGGGACGTTCTTTGACGGTCCATTACAGCTCAGTGCAGAAGAGGACCTCACCTATGATATATTTCAGTAAAAAATATAATTTCATTCTTATTTGCTTTCTATACAAATAGAAATTTCATTGACTTTTTTTTTTTTCCCTAGTGAAAAGGAAACAAACTGCACAGGACTCTACAAGGCAGAGGGGAGATGATTCTCCTGCATTTTCAATCCCCATGGACCTTCAGAGGGACAGTAAATCCAGCCTAGATGTTCTCAGCTGCATGATACACGAAGTGGAGCATGAATTAGAAGAATATGAGCGATGTACAGGCCGTGAGGTTAAAAAACTGCAGAAAAGTGAAGGCCTCACCGGATTTACCTTGTCACTGGTGAATGCTCTCTGTCGTTTGATGCGCTACCTCAAAGAGGTGAGAAGACTCAGTTCCTTCCGTAGAATGAATGTAAAGGATATAAAATTACTGTAGAATTATCAACTTTGGTCTTCCCTGGCTCCTAGTTACTTTACTTTGAAGTCTAGTTATTATTACTTATTGGAATTGTATGCAATTAGCAGGTAAAGCTCAGCTTGTTGGAAACAGGGAGCCCTAATGAAAAGAAAGGAGATGACTACAATGAAAGTTTCCTGGTGACTCTTCACAAAAAAATATTAATGAAAATATTTTTAAATTTACTTTTTTATGTACGTTCAGAATTGTAGCAGGATAATAACTACAGCTTTGTAGGCAAATTTATTTTCTTCTTTCCCTCTCAAAATGATAAGATAGAGGCTACAAAAGTGTACCCAAATCCTATTTTTTTTCATTGAGGGATTCCTTGGGTTTCTTCTTCCACTTATACCAGCAACTTCATCTTAAGCAAGAAAAATGTGTAGTGCTGACAACAGCAATGCAGAGCTGCAGATGAATGCAAATCCCACGAAGACAATACCTGC